GCAATGAAAATTTGAAGCATCAATCATGAACAAATGGGTGGAAATTGCAGCATTGATGTCAATATGTAAACTTTCTTTTCAAAAGAAACAGTGACATATACATTCTACGAGTATTGTGAATAATGTACATATTGTTATGTAGGATTTATATTTTGACATTTAAATTGTTTTGTATTTTGCTACGAGTACTTACTGTTTACATCTACTATTTTTTATTTATTTACATATACTTGCTATCGTTCATAGGCTTTAGGTAGGAACTTGCATCTAAAATCGTATGTTGTTTGATAAGTGCATGAATAACATTTAAATCATTACTTTACACAAAGTAAAAATGAAAAACATGATAACTTTTTAGGACGTGCATGATAAAAAAAAAAGTTCCTCTTTGCACAATACATTTAAAGTATATCTTGACACTTACAATGGGAAAAACTAACACAATACACCTTTAGGGGCGCGTAGCGCCCGTGATGCAAAAATGTCTCTCGCACGCACGTTAGTGCGTGCAGAGAGGCTAGTAGACAATAAAGTTTGCACGGGCAGCATTTATCAATGTTTCGTATTTGCTAGGCTGGCTAGCCCAGCCTGTTCGGCTACTTTAGCGTAAAAATGACAAAAATTTGTTTCCAAATTGGCAAATGAACAGTTGCAAGATAAATCTAGCCTGGATGGAGAGAGAAAAATAGCAGATGTTAAATTTAAAATACTATTAAAACTGACTTTTGCTTTTGCCTTCTCTTTCCTCTTGAGCCTTCCTATCTGCTGCTCGCGTCTCTGCCCCTTGCGCCTCTTCAATTTGGCTTCCTCCATCGCATCTCCTATTATAAATATAGCTCGTCATCTGTTAATTTTTCATAGTTGTTCAGTCATTCTCCCATTATCATTTCAGTTGGGGGATTTTTTTTTATTTTATTTTATAAATGGTTGAGTTTGAAGTGTTTCTTTAAATTTGTAATTCAAGCAACAAGGTGAAATTTGGCAAGAAATGCAATCCGGTTGTCATTTTTTTTAGGGAAATGTCCAAATTGTCATACATCTTAAAATGATCAAATTATCATCCCATATAAATGGATTATCTAGAAGTTCCAACCCTTATTTCTCATTTTGTAAAGATAAAAACAGAGAGGAGAGAGAGAGAGGGAAAAAAAAAATATCTCACCCAATTTCAATTCGAGGAAACCTAACCCACTCATCTTCTTCATCCAAGCTCTCTCTCTCTCTCTCTTTTTCTCTCTCTCTCATCTCTCTGCATTTCGAATATGCACAAGAGCTCTCTCTCTCTCTAACCTACCCCTCTTCTTCAATTTTTACCTTTTCATTTGTAGGTTTTGTGAACTGGATTTGCTTAATTTTTCTTTTTGATTGATGGATTTTTGGAGTTGAAGTGATTGGTTTGGTGTTTCTTGGAGAAGACTCAAATCCTTCATTTTTATTTTTTATTTTTTTTATCATTTCTCTAATTTATATGTGGGTTTTCATTTCTTCTATCTTCTCCCTCCCTCTGCTCCCTCTCTCGATCCAAATTTACAAGCACTAAAATAGGATTTGGCTTTTACTACAATGAAATGAAAAAATGTATTAAAGGTCAATTGCCTTTTGGAGAAGAGATAAATTTGAGTGAAAAGAGAGAAATCGGAGTGGAAAGAAGGAAGAGAGAAGGATATGCACGAAATTGTTTCACGTACTTGTTCACTCTCTTCTTATTAAGCTCGCTCATACACTGTATTTACACGACATGCACATGTAATGCTCAAAGATCTGAGCTCAACCCAAAAACTCATAACTCACAGCTCTCTCCTCAAAATCTGAAGAAAAAAAAATGACGCAATTAGATAAATGACCTTAAACTTTATATGAAAAATTGAAGATTCATTAATTTCAATTTGGTATCAAATTTGATTGTGTTCAAATATTTCAAGGATTTGAAAATTGCAGTTTCAATGGGCACGAAAGAACCCAAATGAATCAAAGGAAGTTGTTTCACAAACTCGTTCGCTTTTTTCATATTTGGAGGGCCTGCTTCTGAATCAAAGGAAAAAGTAGTAAACTATGTTAATGCAAAGAGTATCAAAGATGTAAATACGCACCATATACATTATATGCACACCACATGCACATGATATGCACATAATTGGAGAAACTTTAATGGCAATATATTGATATAGTGGATACAATTAAAACATATTTGTTACGTATATAAGGTTAAAGTGACAGTTTGAAAGTCTTGTTATGTATATCAACCACCGTCTAACCGTGTACATGGAAAACATGATACTTGTTATCTTTATTTCATGGACACGCATAACCCTTAACGTCCTCTAATCTTTTTCTTAATTTCGTTTTTCACCGAGGCCAACTAGGTTGTGGTCATACTCACTAAATTTCAGGGCGCAACATACATATATCATAATTAGTGAACATTCCCGCAGACCATATGCACACCACATGCACATTACGGAAAAAATTTCACAAATTTCTGCAATTGAGAACATGAACCAAAAATTGTTCCATCCCAATTTTGTAGCACGTCAAAACTTGAAATTTATTCCACAACCTATATCCCCCATCATGAAACACAAACCGTAATTTAACTTCTAAGTATTAATTCATCTTACAAACAAACCATTTATTCCATAAATCATTGATGAAGGAACTTGGAACTAAACACCTTACCTTACTATGTATGTTGAAGCTTTAGTTGTCGGAAAAAAAAATGAAACTTTCCGGCCAAAATAGAAAATATAGTACAAAATTTAGCTCACTTTTCTCATCTCTCTAGCATCCCTTTGTTTGAAATCAAAGATATGAGGTCAACCCAAAACCCAGCTCATTCTTCTCGCCTCTCTTTGAACTTCCCTCTCTTCGAAATCGAGCTCAGAGATCTAAGCTCAACCCATAAATTAGGGCTCACGGAGCTCTCTTGACATCCCCCTCTTCCAAATGAAAACAATGATGGAATGAGCTGATGATTTTTTGTATTTATATGTGGTTAGTAATTTCGATTTTGTGCATGGCTTATGCATGGCCGGTTTGTCCTATTTCTGTCTCAAGATTAAAGAATTGTCCTATTTCAGGGTATTTCCCTGACAAATAATACGACAAAAATCTATAGTCCTATGGAGTATAGAATATTTCTAGCTTTTTAACGTTTAGACTTTTGTTTTTGTATTTTTAAACAAAAATATAATAGTAAAACACTTGAAATTCTTTGGCGCACCTTAGAAAATCTCACAATACAATAATCACTCCAAATTCATCTCTATTAATTAATGAAAGCCTCTTTGTCAACCAAAAGATAGTGAAAATACTACTTAGTCTTCTATCACAAAAAAAAAAAAAAATTGATGGGCAATAATGTAATTTTACAGGTCCAAATTTTACTGTTTTTTATTGAAGCCTTACATACAGGTGATGTTAAAATACCTCCAATATTAAAAAAAAAAAAAAAAATCCAAAACCATTTAAACTAAGAGCAGTTCTACCATGGGCAATAGCTCGGTGGACTAGCTCTTAAACAGGGCCAGAAAGCCTAAGCAACTTGGTCTAGCGTGTGCTGGTGATGGAGCCTAAGGGAGAGGCCTGGAAGGAGTTGCCAGCCCGAGAGCCCGAAGGGCATGTGACACAAGGCTGGCATCTGGGCGACGTCAGCCACGTGGTGGATAGGCCTGGACAGAGTCGAAGAGCGGCAACACCCTGATGTGGTGATGGACAGGCCTGGACAGCTCTTCGTAAAGGTCAATCTCGACACCGATGACGCTGATATCTCGGAGACGGAGGGCGAGTTTCTCGCCAACTCAAGAAGGGGCGACAACGACTCTCCCTAATGCTTCCTTCTCCCTTCGTAAAACGATGCCCAGCTGGAGTCCTCCGCATCCACAACATGTGTCCCGCTCGCCAACACGTCGATGCTCCTGCTCGTCTACTTCCACAATGCGCTGTAGACCGAGCTCTTCGATCCCTGCCTCGTGACCACCGCCTCCTTGAAGAGTGGATCACATGACTACCAAGACCACGACTTCTTTCTCTTGCTTTTGCGGCGGTTTGAGTTCCTCAAGCTCGCGTATGAGTACCACTGCTCTGCAGAGGACGAGGTCATCTCAAAGTTTCCGAATTGATTAACAGTTCCTAATTTTTCGTAATTTAACTAATTAACTAAATCAAACTCCTTAAAGCTGAATTCTTTAGTTCCGAATTAGCTAATTGTTTCTAATTTCTATTTAGAAATTAGAATTGCATAATTTGATTAGTTAATTGCTTAAGCAAACTGTTTTAAAGATGAAAACTTTAGTCAAAATTTGACTAGTGTGAGAAGCGGCATTAACTTTGCAATGGAATTTGCATCTTTAATCTTTAATCTTTAATTATTACTTTTCTTAAAATAATTATTTTGTATTATTTTATAAATAAAAAAATTAGTATTATTTTATTGCTTATTGCTAAGGCTATTCAATGTAGGAGTCGAGATGTAAAGGGCAATTACTGTTCATTAAGGGCAATTACTGTTCACTGGTGGATTAAATAGTGAATAGCCCTAAAGGCCTTAGCAACGGTGGAGTTGCTCTAAACAAAGACAGATTCAATCTTGAGTGTGTTGTCCAACTAACTTTATTTACTAGCGTAGAAAAGGAAAAAAAACTAACTTTATTTACTAAATTAAATGAAAAGCCGAAGCAGGCTTAACATCAGCCGACGCTTTGGCCGAGTGGTTAAGGCGTGTGCCTGCTAAGTACATGGGGTTTCCCCGCGAGAGTTCGAATCTCTCAGGCGTCGAATATTTTTTTAATTTTGTAAACTGTTTTACAGCCAATCACTTTCAGCCACGTGGTTATTTTCCACGTAATAAACCCCAGGGGTGGATTGCCCGCCAGAGTTTTATCCTCTATTTTCTTATATTTCCCAAACTGTTTTACAGCCAATAAACTTCTGCCACCTATTACCTTTTCACGGTCTCATCCGCAGGTGATTACGATCCCTTCAGTCAAAGTTGTTTTGGAACAGTGAGTCTGTGACTTCCCTTCGTGCCAGTTACACACAATGTCAGTCTGTTCGCCACCATTGCATGCCCACCTCCCAAACGCCGTCGTATCCAGCTCCGCCTCCGAAGGCAGAGTTCCTCTGCACTGTCTCCAAAGCCCTAATCCCCATTCCGAACTCACAAACTCGTTAAAGCTGGTGGCTTCGCACCATTTGCCGTCTCGCAACCGCCGTTTCCATCTCAATTGCGCGGGATCAGAGACTGCCTCCGTCGCGGGAAAAAATGGTGATTTCACGGAGGTAAAAGCGATGGTTTTTGAGCCGAAAATCGACGGTGGTGATGGCGGCGATTCATTTGGTGGCGGAGGAAGAGGAGAAGGAGACGGCGGGGGTAAAGAGGATGGTGGAGAGGAAGAGGAGTTTGGGCCATTGCTGAAGTTTGATGAGGTGATGAAGGAGAGCTGAAGCTCGGGGTATGAAGCTCCCTTTAGACATGGTTGAGGCTGCAAAGACTACTAGGCTCCGGGAAGTGTTTCTTCTCCGCTACTTGGATTTGCAGGTTTGAATTTTTGCTTAATCTGGTCGTCGTTTCTGTTGAAAAATCTTTTACGCTACGATTTTTATCGGGTTTGTGATTGAATTTTGGTTATTTTGTGTTTTGATAATTGAATTGCAGGGGTCAGTTTGGCCACTGGGTTTTTTGATGAAGTACTGCTCAATGCTACGTAATCGGATGATGGCTGATCCTTCCTTTCTTTTCAAAGTTGGGACAGAGGTTTGTTTTTGTCTGTTTTCCGTTTCGGTTTATAGTTTTTGAGTGGTTTTTATTATTTTGAGTGATTGGTGGCATTGGTGATAATTCTACAAGTTAGATTACATGTATACCTTGCGTTGAATCTGCACTGGTTTACAATTTCTGCTCTTGTTAACTATTGAATAGGTTTTTCTTCGTCCACCTTTGTAATGCAGATAGTCATAGATTCTTGTTGTGCAACATTTGCAGAAGTTCAGAAAAGGGGAAAGGATTTTTGGGCTGAGTTTGAGTTGTATGCTGCTGATCTTTTGGTTGGAATAGTGGTTGACATTGCTTTGGTTGGCATGTTGGCACCCTATGCTCGGATTGGAAAGCCGTTAGTATCACAGGGTCTATTAGGAAGCGTGCAGAAGGCTTGTGCTGCTCTTCCTAGCAGGTTAGCACTGCAACGCAGCATTTTATGATACTCGTATTCTGCTGTAGGTCATTTAATGTTATCTATCAATGGTTACTGCGTTTAATTTGCATTTGGTAAGAGCTCACGTTGGATTGTTTACTCTGATTGTAGTCCATCTTTCCAGTCATCTCTGTTTATATTTTTAATTTGTTTCATCGTTACTCAAGTCAGGGTAAGAAAGACTGCGAAATTCTTAGGAAACATAATTCTTCGTCATTCTGCTCTTCTTAGATAGCTAGAAATGTTAAACCTTTAACATCATGCTCTGTTTGACTATTTCTGCCTGTATTCATCTATACACTAGCCTCTATATCTGTATTTTTATTATCCATATCTTCTCATTAATTTCAGTCTCTTATCCATTTAGGTTGACCAGTGTAAATGTTATTCTTATCATTCGTTTTTTAGGTTAGTTAGGTTCTCTTGTTTAAGAGGTCATGATCATCATTTACATATATCATGATATCTATTTTTTGCTCCAATTAAATATATTTTATCTTGTTTAGAGGTCATTGTTTGTTGGACATTGCAATGTCAACAATTAACTCTTAGGGCTGTTCCGCTATTGCATATTTACCCGATCGGATTTCAATACTGAATTTGTCTGCTTTGGGATACTTAAACTCAATATGAAAGGGTTTGAGTGAGCTTGTTTATTGAGCAAAGCTGTTTCCTTTCATTCTTCCTTATTTACTGTTTGGTTGCCTCCCAATAATTTGTGAGCCCCGTGTCGAGCTACAGAAAATGATGAAAACACAATGACTGACGTATTGACATCAAATTTCTTTTCCAAAATTGGGAGTGGGACTCAAGGTTACCATTTTGGGACCACATGATTGTATTCTCCTATCTCTTGAATCTGACTTCAAACCAATGAGTCCTCCTAGCATTCTTCTTTTGTGAACCGTTGCATGATCTTCAATAATTATTCACCATTCCTCTTTTGCAGCGTCTTTGAAGCCGAAAGGCCGGGATGTAAATTCACAGTTAAGCAGAGAACAGCCACATATTTCTACAAGGTAAAACATCTTATTAGTGATGTTGTTAAGTTTTTTCTTGTAACGGATAGATAGGTAGTTGCCCTCTGGACTGTAAATGTTAATGACAAATGCTTCATCAAGATGAGAAGGGGTGGAGTTTTTCACTGTCTTCAGTTTTTCAAATGTGGTTCTTTTTAACTATTCTCTCTTCAAATTAGGTTTCTTTACCAGCTGTACTATTTTAATTTTCTAGACCAAAATATGGGTTCTGGTTCTCATTAATTGATTGGAACATGTTGGTCCAGGGTGTGTTGTACGGATCAGTTGGGTTTGTATGTGGTCTTATTGGACAAGGAATTGCAAATATGATCATGAATGCCAAAAGGTATGCTTTTATCCATATAATTTTCATGTTATTTCAGTTTCTTTGTCAGATGTCATTCACTCTTTTTTGGATATCTGCTATTAAATGTGTTTTTAAAGGCCCATTGATATCCATTTCATTTTTAGGGTTTAGTTGTCTTTTTTTTTTTTTTTTTTTTCTTTGTGCGAGAGGTAGAGGGAAACTATATGGGGAAAAGAGGGACGAAGAAGGGTAGAGGGAGAGAGGAGGGAGTAATGAAGGAGTGTATGAAACAAAACTTGAAGTGAAAACAACTTGAATGTGTATTCCGTTTTGAATTTTCATTTTATGTACCATTCTATATCCATATCTTCCACATCTCTCCCGTCATCCTTCCTCCCCCTGTCTCCATCTCTCCTTTCTCTCATGTAATATCTTCTCTATTTGTAACAGAAAAATGAAATGATTGTCAAACTGTCCCTAACTTTTATACTTATATAGTTATGTACTCATTAGAAAGTAAAACACGTGAAACATGAGACTTACATTTTAACTTATTTTATTTGAGGAGGTTCATCTACCACATTTCCAGGTTGAGCAGAAAATGAAATTTATATTATTACTTAACATTGATGTCATTGGAAACATATATATCTATGATATTTTAAATTGAGAGTCAGGTGGTTAGATGAAGGTCTTTCCCTGACCTGCAGGGAAAGGGGGCTTAAGTCTTCTATGTTATAGCTACACAGATTGATTATCTTTTGAACTTTAGGAAGCATTAAATGGAACTTCCACTGGAATCATGCATGAATGTACATCTTACCATGAAGTTCGTTGATGAAAGGCTGATCATGTTGCCTGCCTAACATAAAGATCCTTCCACTGTTAATTTGTTTTTGTGCACAAAGGGGAAAATGTGTGTGTGTGTGTGTTTTCTATTTCTTTTTCTTTTTTAATTTGTACTGACAACCTGAATTGGGTGTTTTGAATAGTATCAAATATAAGGATCGCCCAAAACTTCCACCGAACCAAACCAAAAGGAAAAGATTTCTTTATTAATGACAATTATTCACTCTCTTATTCTTATGTGTCATCAGGAGCGTAAAAAAGTCAGAAGGGGACATACCCGTGCCTCCTCTTGTGAAAAGTGCTGCTCTTTGGGGTAGGTCCTGCTCTTTTGTTCAGATTTCAATTCTTTTCCTCATTGAACTATGTACTACTGTGTATCTGTTAAGCAAGTTTCCCTGTGTCTTAGTTGTGAAGTCATGGAATAAATGTAAACTAAAAGATATGCATAAATACTATTTTAACAAATGCCATCTCACAAAATTAATTCCTGGTACTGGTGTAAATTTGTGTGGAACTTTTTTTTTGTCTGTAAAGAAACTGAAATAATGAGCCTGTAACTTTTACAGTTCTACAAGAAAGAAAAAACACTCAGAATATATGGATTATAGGGTAAATTTTCTATCTGATATGAAGTGGAATCTATGATATAGGAATAATGTGAAATGGTACTTGAGGACACAGCTTTTGTTTTTGCACCTGAAAGAATAGTATATTAGCTATACCAATTGTTTCTGAGATCTTCAACAGAGCGGATGTGTATTCTTGTCCCAAACCTAAAAGATATGTTAATGTACTTGTCACTGCAAGTTGTTTACGCTTTATTCATAGGATACACTAATGCACTTGTCACTTTGATTATTTGTGTATATATTTGCATGTGCAACCTGCGAACCTCAGTGATTAAACTGATTAGTTATGTCATGTGTGTTATTGTATGGTGCAATTCAAATGTGGGTTCATCTCGGTAGTTTGAATGTAACAATCGGACCAGGTTGTGGTTAGGGGGATATTATTGTACACATAACCATCGACTTTACACCAACTGTTTTGGTCTGTTAATCAGGTGTGTTCCTTGCTGTCTCATCCAACACTCGTTATCAGATCGTAAATGGTCTGGAAGGGCTGGTTGAAGCATCACCTTTGGCAAAGCGCGTTCCGCCTGTTGCAATGGCATTCACTATAGGTGTACGATTCGCCAACAATATATACGGTGGTATGCAATTTGTAGACTGGGCTAAATTGAGTGGAGTGCAATAGCAGCAATGCATACCGATTACCAACATGCTCCCCAGTTTTTAAATGTCAATCGGACGATACGTTCTTTTACATTTTGGCTCAGATTTTTCCGCTATAGATCATTTCATTAGGGGGATAGATCATTTTTTTTTTTTCCGGGCAATTTAAGTGATTTAATGTGAAAGTAAAACATTTTGTTAGTACTTGATATTGGTAATGTTAGTGGTAATAAACTCATATATGGCTGCCCTCTCACAGAAAGTGGGATCCACATGAGCGGACCTATAAGCTGTAAGAGGGCTGCCGTATGCAGCATCCATATATAAGAATTCTCGTGCTAGCAATGGCATGCCTCTCGTCTACTACATGATCTTTTACTATCTTAATTAAATAATGGTAATGATCAACCCCGTGGGTGACTGATTTTTGAGCCATTTTTTACGGTTGATGCATGTGGAGGCGACTGAAGGTTGCAATTTCATTTGAAAATGGTGCTATTGTGCTTTGTATTTATGATGACTGGTTAACAATCGGGCAACCACTGCCTTTTGTGAGAGTTTTCCTCTCCTGTGTGAGAGTTCCTTCACTCTCCCCCTCTTCAGTTTTGGTTTGCCTTCGCTCGAGCTATTGTTTTGAGAGCCGCCAGCATGGGAATTCGGCGTCCATCGCCGTATTTCCTTTTCTATTGTCTTCTTGTCTTCATTTTAATTTATGCATCCTTTTAAAAACCCTAGTCTCAAACTTGAAGCCTATTTCCCCTACTTTTCTACACAAGAATCGCATGTCAAACCTGCTTCACGTGAAAGCTTATTATTAAGCCTTCTTATGACAAGATTCGTTCGAATCCTCCTATTTTTCTACAAAGGATTCAGGAGGACATTTGTGGACCGATTCACCCTCCCTGCATTCCATTTAGATATTTTATGGTTTGGGTTCATGCTTCCACACATGTGTCACACGTGTGCTTGTTGTCAAGCTCACGGCTCACCACCTTGATTATCTTATCAAATATATTCAATTGTATAATGCTGGAAAATTCACATCTAAAACTTTTGATGACTATTGCATGTCGGTTGGGGTTGAAGTTGAACATCCAATACCCCAAGTTCACCCCTAGAACAGTCTGGTAGAGGCATTCATTAAGCACTTACAAATGATTGCTTGATCGTTGGTTATACGTACTAAGCTCCCGATTATTACTTGGGGCCATGCAATATTGCACGCAACCATGTTGGTCCGCTTGAGGCCTATTGTGACCCAATTGTATAGCATCCTTCAGTTAGTTGCTAGATACGAACTTACGTACAAAAATGGGGCCTCAGTGAAGGATGATAATCTATGTCTGATATGATTCTCCTTCAATTATTCGTTACTTAGAATCTTTGACAAACGATTTGTTTACTGCTTATTTTGTGGATTGTTACTCCTACAAGACAATCTTCCTGTCGTTAGGAGGAGATAAGAACGTCACCATTCTTGAAGAACGATGCGAATTATCATTGACGACTCCTACTTTGTCTCATTTAGATCCTCGCACCACTCAGTTTAAAACTGAAGTGCAATGCATATTAGATCTTTAGAGCGCAGCTCAGAGTATGTCAGATGCCTTCACCAATCTAGAGCGAGTGACAAGATCACATATTCCAGCTGTGAATGTGCCTGCAAAGATGGATGTACCAAATGTACAACGAACTTCCCTCTTGGAGGCTTAGGATGCCACTTTCGTCGATCCACGTAAATTAACGGCTAGCCAATCCTCTGCCCCTACACAAAAGCGTGGCATAGTGCTTGGTTCAAAGGATTTACACCCCTGGAAGAGGAAACCCATGGAATAGCCTCTTGCTGAGCCTACTATGAATCCGACTATCGCCTGCTCATTTTATCCAACTCATGGGGAAATTCTAGATTACGGAAGCGTCGTTGAAGAGACAAATCTATTTCCCAAAAATTGTGAGATTTTAGTCCATTATGCCAGCTTGGATGATGTTTGGTGTAGAAATGAGATGATCACCAATGATGCATTAGCATATGCAGTAGCTATTGAGATCATGTTGAGCGATGACATTGAACCCATTTCGTTGATGAATGTCGACGTAGAATTGATTGGTCAAATTGGAAACAAGCAATCCAAGTCGAACTCGATTCGCTTGCGAAATGGAAGGTGTTTAGACATGTAGCTCATACTCCTCCACATGTCAAGCCCGTTGGCTACAAATGGGTTTTCGTTCAAAAACGTAATGAGAAAAACGAAATTGTGCGTTACAAAGTTTGTCTTGTTGTGCAAGGCTTCTCACAACGCCTTGGGATTAACTATGACGAAACTTGTTCATCTATTATAAATGTGACGAAACTAAGTATACAACTGATGGACGTAGTAACTATGTATCTTTATAAGGATCTTGATATGGAAATTTATATGAAAGTTCCTGAATGACTTACAATCACTCTATGGTTTGAAGCAATTTGAAAGAATGTGGTATAACCGTCTGAGTAAGTATTTGACTAGTCAGGGATATGTGAACAACGAACTATGCCCTTGTGTGTTCATTAAGAAGTCACATTCCGATTTTGATATTGTTGTAGTTTATGTTGACGACATGAACCTCATCGAAACTCCTGAATAGCTCGAGAGAATTGTCAGGCACCTAAAGTCGGAATTTGAGATGAAAGATCTAGGAAAAACTTGATACTATCTTGATCTTGAGATAGAGCACTATTTGGATAGAATCTTAGTACATTAATCGAACTACACCCAGAAGGTGTGGCGCGTGCTTTAACGAGGATAAAGCGAAACCTTCGAGTACTCTTATGGTCATTTGATCGCTAGATGCAAAACGAGATCCCTTCCGTTTGAAAGAGGATAATGAAGAGATTTTGGAGCCTGATTATCTAAGTGCGACACGCACTTTATTGTATTTAGCTCAATGCACTAGACTTGACATCTCCTTTGCTGTTAATCTTTTGGCAAGTTACAGTAATGCACCAACATGTAGACACTGGATTGTTGTTAAAGACATCTTCCATTACCTTAAGGGTACTACAGATATGGGCTTGTTTTATCCCTACGGATCCTCGAGTGATGTTGTACCCCTTTATATCGAGTCAAACCTCACCTTATTAGTTGTGCCGACGAAGGATACTTATTTAATCAACACAAGGCACGTTCTCTAACGAGTTTTATCTTTATCTTTGGAGGCACCGTAATATCTTAGAGGTTAACTAAACAAACCTTAATTGCCACTTCATCTAACCATATTGAAATTCTCACCTTACACAAAGCAACTTGGGAATGATTCTGGTTAAGAGCAGTTGTGGGCCATATCCGAATCTCCTGCGATCTTTACCCTGTCGTTGATGTCCTGACGACGATCTATGAAGACAAGGCAGCATGCATCGAACAACTTAAGAATGGTTACATCAAAGGAGACAACACCAAGCATATTGCATCAAAATTCTTCTTCTCACATCAACAGTAAAAGCATAAGAAGATTGAAGTCATGCAAATCCGTTCATAAGACAATCTGGCCAACTTCTTCACTAAATCACTACTGAAGGCGATGTTTCAAAAGCTTGTTCAAGGAATAGGTATGCGTACACTTTCTGAGTTGTAACATTGTTAGTTTTTTTTAGAATTATGTCAAACTCAAGGGGAGTATCTTGAAACATACTCGCTTGATCTTAATGTACTCGTTTTCCCTACGATTAGGAGCATTTTTCCCACTGGGTTTTTGCTACCTAACGAGGTTTTGATGAAGCACCCACCTTGGGTTGATTATATCCTTAGTGACATCCCGTAGACGTTTTATTTGACTTTGCATTACTCACGCATTTTTCCTTAGACTATGGATTTTTCCCTACTCGGGTTTTACCATAGCCATTGGGTTTTTTTGTGAGACTTAGTTCCATATGCAAGTTTCTACTTTACTTTGAAACCAGCGTGTTCCCAGAATCAGTGCAGACGAGTCGACTTCCTCAACTCTACATGATGCCGAATCTACTTGAGTATTTACACACTCAAGGGGGAGTATTATAAACATTGCATTTAAATGTGTTTGTGAAAATCCTAGATTAGATAGATTTGATACTAGTTATTCTTCCCTATTAGGACTTGTATTCCTTGGAGGAGAATGATTCTTCCCTCCCTTATTACTATAAATACAGGCACTGCGTAGGGGAATAATACATCCTCTACACCCTACAAACATATCTCTCTCTACTCTCTCTGCCTTGCTCCCTCTCTCCCTTGTCAGATTAAAATAAGCCACAACAAAAACTACTTTCTTGGGGGCCACTTGATAACAATTTTGTTTTCACTTTTTTTTTTCTCACTTTTTTGAAATTTGAAATGAGACAACCCGTCCCTAAAATTTCGTTTTTATTTAGTTTAATCGAGGGAATTGATGAAAATGCCTTTAGAGGCGAGGGTATTGACTTCCATTGATCAACGCGAAATATTCTTTTAGTGTATTCTTGAAGTACTCGGCAATATGGGCGCGTAGTGCATGCAAAAGCAGATTTGGACTAATGGTGTGACCAATTATTATTATTTTATATATTTTCATAAGTACTATTATATTATGGGAAGATTATATTTAGTAAGGGATAAGAGAAGGAAAGGAAGAAACAGAAGACAAGGGGAGGACTGCTGCTCAATTCGGAAGATGAGGGACCAACTAGAGAAGAAAGTAAGGAGGGGAAAAGAGGGAGATGAGATGTGCCGGATCTTCTTGACCCATTTGTCCCCCATCGGACTCGCACGACCTGACAGTTTTCCATCATTTTTTCGTCGATTTTCCGGTGACTCGAACCTCGCCACCACTTGAAAATGAATCATCATCCTTCCTTCTTCCAATTCCATGCAAAACCTAGTTCCTTTAACCCTAATTTGAGGGGAATTGATCTATCAAACCCATGGGGTTCCGAAGGTTGCCACAGCGAAATCCGCCATTTCTGAAGTGTTTCTCTTCAATTACCACCACCAAAATACTCCTCAAGAGGTTAGGAACAAAGCCCAATTAGTGGTTGAAGCGTCAGAGCGGCCTATGTCATTCTTAGGCTAAATTAGTTGCCTTGAGCTCAGTTTTGGTAATTGTATGAGATAGGTTGATGGTTAGAACCTAAATTCTCTACGTTACGTTATTTGGTAAAAGCAATGTTCTAAAAAACGGCCTAGGCGCTGGGCGATGGTGAGCCGAGACCTTTTCTTGCAAATCGGTGGGAAAAATCGGATGGGCTCTAGGCGGCGCCTAGGCGGGCTAGGCAGCTAAACAGGCTAGGTGAGGCTAGGCGGTGTTAAGCGGTTTTTTTTTAATGAAATTAAAAAATAAAATAAAAAATCTTATCTAAGTCTAAGTGGTTTAAA